GATCGAATGCTCAATAACTGTATCCGCTTTATCTTCGGTCTTCGTAAATACGACCACATCTCTTCCTTTCGCGCTCAGCTTAAATGGCTTCCTGTCCGTGAGAGGAGATCCCTCAGATCCCTCTGCATGCTCTTCTCTATTCTTAATGATCCTTGTGCTCCAGATTACTTAAAATCCTGCTTCCAGCTATTAGGCAGTTGCCACAACCGTAACCTCCGCTCGACGGACAACTTGCTTCTTGAGATACCTTCCCACCGGACCTCTTTTATTTCTAATTCTTTTACAATAAGTGTCATCAAACTTTGGAATGCGCTCCCCCTCAATATCAAAAAAGCTCCTAATAAAATCTCCTTCAAACACCAAGTTCATGAATTTTATTTAAAATCGCTGCAACGCTAGATCAAGGTCTTCGTCGATATATATTTATGTATGTATTTATACCTATATATTTTATGCATATGACTATATATACTATTTACTATTATGTAATATATATGTATAACTATATTATTTAATAATTACCATTATTTTTTCCTCTCTCTCTCTCTCTTTGTTGTTAGTTCATTCTCCGTACCTCAGTTTTCGCAGATTTTCTACTTAAACCCTAAGGTTGACTGGTAGAGAATGCCATATGGCATTAAGTTCGCCTTATGTACCATAAACAAATTATGTACATTAAAGAATAAATAAATAAATAAATAAATAAAAAATAAAAGTGGGTGTTACATTGTACAGTGACATTAAGTGCCGAAATGTGCACCTCTGCCTACCCTTTAGGGGATAAAAAGGTTATGATATGGTTAATGATTGTGATAATTTGATATTAAGGTTAGCCCTAAAACCAATAACAAACAAATAACAAACACATCATTAATAAAGTCAATGAAGTAAATTACCTTCTCATACTCAGCATTTTCTTTAGCAGGGTTGGTGTCATCGAACCTCATGATGAGTTTGCCCTGGAATGCCTGCTGGTAGTACTGGTTCAGGAGAGCGGCCTTCGCGTGACCAATGTGAAGGAAACTAAAATAACAATAGATAATTAATTATACTTTTCACTTAGTATTTTTGGTAAATGTTGCGTGAATATGGATTTTCTCTTGTGTCGGGGATGCGTTTACAAATATACATACATGTTCACATATATATATATATAGTATCATACTTAGACTCAGAGCAACAACTTAAACAACATACAAAACATGTTCTGTGCAGGACAAACTCGCGACGCTGCTGGTTACAAATTCACAGCTTTTATCCCCCAAACTTTAGACTTTTTTTTAAGGGGGGAAAATCATCGTATGACTGCTACCGCCTGGGTGAGGCGGGAGAGAGTGTCAGACTCATACTGACTAAAAACCACCCCGTTCCTTCTCCTGCACGTCGAGCCGGAGCCCCGGTTACCCGTTAGGTTCTCCGCGACAAACACTTACCCTGAGGCTTCGGGTGGGAACCTGACCACCACCTTGCCCATCTCAGCATGTGGCAGCTCAACAAACTTGCCTTCCTGTTGACGACCTGAACCACCTTCATTGGCTGCTGGAGACTTCCTGAAAAATACAACATGTTTTTGTATTGTTCTTATTCTTTTATCATACAAGGAGTAAGATAAAGAATATTTATTTTAAGTACAAAATATTGTCAAGTTGTGTCTGTTGCAATTTAAATAAGGAAATTGCAAGATATAATCTGGAATTTGTTATTATTTATAATTGTATATTTTAATTTGTTTTAACCTCTTGTTAATAGTTTCGGTACAAAAACCCAAATTAATTTTAAACAGAGAAATTATACTCAACAATTATTGAGGAGCAAATCTGTATCAATGTAGGAGCAAAATATAAGTATTTCATGTAAAACTAGCTTCTGCGCGCGACTTCCCGTAGGATTTTCAGGACTTTTTTCTGTCATAAGAACCTTTTCCTGACAATAATAAACACAACAAAAAAATCTTCCAAATCAGTCTAGCCGTTCGCAAGTTATGGCGTGACAACGGGAAACGGGTTTCATTTTTATATATATAGATAGATGGAAAGTCATTATAAAATACTTATGCTATTGCTAAAGCATTGACAACATATCTTTGATAAAAAAAAATATGATATTTCTTATATTTTCCTCAAATTAAAACATTGTAAAATAAATTATTGCCAAAACATGACATTGATCTTGACCAAGTCAGACATAAGGAAAACAATAACATTGTTAACATTACAGTCATTACTCAAGTCAGCTATATTTCATTATAATTTCTCATTTACTCAGAACAAGCTTGAATGCCTCGGGACTTAGGAATTACTGAAATTCAATTAATTGTTGAATCATCTACAATAACATAATAAAGTTAATTAATTTGGTTGTTGTAAACAAACAAGTTTAATTTTTCAAATATAATAAAAATCATAACATAACACAACATCACGCCTTTTATCCCCGAAGGGGTGGGCAGAGGTGCACATTATGCCACTGTACAATGTAACACCCACTTTTCACTATTTATGTTATGAGTCCCATGTAATAGGGGGTAAGCTTTTTGCCATATACCAGGCACAATTCTAGACTCCATGCTACTACTGAGAATTTTTTTAAACCCAGTAATACTTTGCCTGACCCGGGAATCGAACCCGAGACCCCTTGCCCGGCAGTCGCACTTGCGACTTGCGACCACTCGGCCACTGAGGCAAACGAGGCAAAAAAAAGGTAATAAAAATCATTGTAGAGTTAAAAAAAATCTGTTGAACTTTACTGTTATTTAAGAGAGTCTAATAGTAGACAAAGATTGAATATGTAACAGTAAATGATTACACAATATTAAGGTATTATGACAACATTAAGGTTGATTGCATAGCAATATTGAATTCTAATTGGATAAAAAAAATATTTTGACAATATTGTGCTAAAAGATTGGTTTAACTTATAATCCAGCAATAGGGTGTTACTCTTATGAAATACTATTTAAATAATTTGAAATACTATTCATGAATTACTACATATGATAGTATATTTTAAAACTTCTACAATGATTTTTTTTAAGTATTAAAGAGTACCACAAACCTGGACGAAGCCTTGCTGATATTGCTCAGGACCTCAGCAGGCAGTTCTTTCAGTACTGTAGCTACACATGGTTGAGCTTCAATCAGCTTCATCCAGCGAAGAATGTTTTTAGGGGGGTTTTTCTTTGATACATCCTTAAACCTGGCTGATCCTGTAATTTGTTAATTACTAAATTAAAAAATAATGTTTGGGCTATAGGTTTGTAGACTATTTTTAGTGTATTGAATTTATTAAGATGATTGTTATTGGAGGTTACTAGACTAAAAAAGAAGTTCAAAATTCATAAAAAAATATATTTTATTGAGATCATAAAATGATAACGATTGACAGCTATACTGCTTGTGTTTAGATAATGACACTTACCATACAAAACACTAAAGACTGCCAAGTCAGATACTGATAATGATTCTCCCACCAAATAGGTTAAGGGCCCAAGAGTTTTGTCCAAATAATCAATGGATTTGGGGATCTCATCCTCTAAGATTAGGCTGAACGAAAGCCAATGATTCATGGTAACCCTCTGAAGAGGTTCTGCCGCTTTGTTGAAAGCATTTTCCAGAATTCTTATCAGATCATTACTGGTAGCATATGGCACCTTTTTAGACGAATTCGGCAAAACAACATACGAATCGCCATCCCACGTCACTTCCACCTGTTTCGCTGAGGACTTGTAGAACTCCACAGCGAGCAAACCACCTGTAAAATCGAAGTTAAAGTCTATTTTAAACCTAGTTCACTCAGCTGATGCAATTTGAAGAAATATGTATGAAACATTGCACTTTACCTAGCGGTGGGTTGGATTTATTGCACGCAACTTTCATTTCAAAGCAGTTTATGCACTTCTTTTACAGTAATAGTATTTATTTCGAGAGTAGTCGCATGCACTCGCCGAACAAACCCACACGAGAGGAAATTGTAGGAAATGTCAAAATGACGCGTTGACAAATTATTGTCACTTTGACATATGACGGTGGCGATTCGTTCTACGTAGACTATTTAGAGCAATTCGAAACCAAACTTTATAATTTTATCATTTTTATTTTTACGAGCAACCATAATCTTAACCACCTAAAAAAATACATGAAAATGAAAATATTTTATTATTAGACAAATCTTTGCCAAATTATAACCACCGGAAACAAAACAACAGAAATCTCTGCAACACGCCGGAAAATAGGATGCCGTAAATCTTAAAATGAAAGAACTGTTGATCAATTAGCCAATAGAGGAATTGTTAAATAATTTACACTTAGCTGTATAATACTTGCAGTGAATTGGCCAATCTTCGGGATCGGCGTGTGGTGCAATGGCTGTCCACCCCGAAGCTGCGAGGACGACGAAGCTATTATACACGGGTACTGCTGCGGCTGTGCTTATTCGTTAGGTAGGTGAATTGTTCTAATGAGTTCATTATAGTAGTAATTTACAGTAAGCGGTTGTCCGTAAGGAGTCAAACTTGCAATCATTTTTTGAGAGTTATAATGGACGTAATGATATTATCTTTTTTACTTAGATTTAAACAAGAGATGTTTTCATAGAGATCTTTCCTATTTCGTATTACGAGTAAAAATAATACTTATGCACTTTGTAGATTACTAAAAACAAGACGCGAGTCATTATCTACAAATCTACAATACAATATTATGATTTTTGTTCACAGACCAACTTCCAGTGACTTGTCCAGAATTCCTGCAGTGTCCTTTGAACTTACACGGATTGTGCCACGACTACGAATATATGATGCGATGTTGTTGTTGATAATATTATGTACCTACCGAATACCGCTTGTGACACTACCAAAGAGAACCAATTCTCGTATAAAAGCCACCAGTGTGGTACAAGATCACTTCAAAGTTCATTACCATCATTATTGTGTCTAAAATAGTTATTTTACAACAAAATGTAGAAGGTAGTGTTAAGGACAATTAAAATAAAACATCTCTAAATATAGCATACTGTTTTAATTTCTAAGAAACCCTCAATACAGAAATTACAGGGGGTTAGCGGTCTTGATTTAAGTAAACTTAACTCTGACATAATAGTACAAAAATAATGACAAACCAAGTTAGTACATAGGACGAGAGAATCAAATAATTTATACCATTTATAGTCTAATGTTTCATATATTAGTATTAAATTCATATCATTTACCTAATTCTCTTAACAATTTAAGTGAAAAATAGGGACGAAAACATTGAGTGGGACTATCCTAATAGGTGAAACATTGGACTGGTCGTTAAAATTTAAAATTATCACAAATTGCTGTGAGAGTGATATATGAATATTTGTCTTTTATTAATACTATGATCCCGCTTCGATGGCTACAAGTTTAATATAAGTATCTGTCTAATTATCTAAGGCCAATATGCTATATCTACAATTTTGTGTTACAATTCGCGATCCAGTTAAATATATCAACACAAAATGTTTATATAGCGTAACTCCAGTACGCCGTACATAAATACATTGTGGTTTATACGCTGCTATTGTGTGGGAGATAAAAACATATAAAACTTGTAAGTTTGCGACGTAAACTCTGCGGGTTGCGAAGGCGATAGGTTGATGGCGACAAATGCAAACTGCGGCCATCGCAATAACGTAATGGTCCCATTCTGAAACGTGCCGACATTCCTGGAGTAGTTCATAACATGTTACAATAGATAATTCATGGCGATCTCCCACACAATACCAGCTTATGCTATACAGAACGAATAATATAAACACCCAGTGCATACAATAAGGTTTATTAGTACCTCAAGTGACGAGAAATTAAATTTAACACAAGCTGGAATAAACGGAAATTAGCCTACACTTGGTAATGGACAGCTTGAGAGATAGACTCATGTACGGTCGGACACTACGCCACGCAAGCCCACGAGCACATCACAAGCAAGCTGAACACGACAAGTCTCTCTCTTACACTAGGTGACGCTACCAAGCAACCGGCGACGTGCCGCCAGTGACGTAGTGCGCGAGCGACGCACGGAAACAGTAGACGAAGCTCTAAAATAAACGTTTACATTACAATAATCATATAAATCTTGTGAATTTTCCCTCTCATACAATCTACATTGGCTCTCAGTTATTTGAACCTCCATCAAAATTCTTATAGTGGAAACAGCACAAAATTAACCTACAATATTCATTATATATAAACATGTATAAACATACACCCTTCCATTTCACCTGTTTCAACTAACAAGATATCGGACAGTAGCAACTTAACAGAAGTTAGCTTAGGAGCCGCGCCGAGTGTGGCCGGCGCGGCTCTACATAATATTATTTATAATTATATCAATATGATGCGATGATGAAACGTTTTGTGGTAATTGCATTTCTTGTGTGTAAGGGTGGCGGCCGGCGCCCGCGACTCCCGCTTCCCGTACGTCTTGCCGCCAGCCTGCGGACAGTAAAATTAAAATTAATAAATCAATAACCTAAAAGTAATAACTTAGTTTGCTTCTGTAATAATAATAAAATGACTGCAATTTCATAGATGAAAGAGACACAACTCAAAACTAAGAAGTCATTGATCTCATCAGGACCTTATAAAGTATATTCAAACTACAAATATCGAAATGGTTGCTAGTGGGTGTTGTTAGTGGTCGAGAATATTATAATTTAGGATTTTAACAGTTTGTTTCTCAGAAAAGACGTTTCTAAATGTGAAGACAATCAATTCTGATGCATCGTTTACAAATCGTATGATTTCAGCTTACACCAATTTACTACAGTTACAAGGTAAATAACTGCATTTCTTATAAATACAACCCTAGAGCGGGACAATGCTTTTTTCAAATAAAAAGAATCTATTCGACTATGCTGCGTCATAAGATGATAAGTAAGGTAACTAGTAAAGCCTTCGTTTACAGTTCAAGTGGGCATACCATATTATTATATTACAACTAATTTAAATGACAAACTCACCGTAGGCGGCGTATTCAGCAGCAAGAAGACTTGCCGGTGTCGATAGGGTGTCCCTGGTCGATCTTGACCTGTCCGCCGACAGGCGCGGCGCCGGTGGAGGGCGGGCCCACGCGGGTCTTGATCTCCGCTGCCATCGTCATGAACGCCTGCTCCACATTCGTAGAGTTCTTCGCTGACGTCTCCAAGAACGGAATGCCTAGTTGCTCCGCATATTGCTGTCGAAGATATTAAAAACATTGTTAATATATTGAATATATATGGATTAATTTTTGATTAACTATTGTCGGAATAATCAAACGTTACTCAATTTTAAGTCGCGTATAAGTATAGTTGTCTCTACAAATTCTTTTTGAAATGACAGAGATGATATTATATTTAAGCACGACTTAAAATTGAGTAACGTTTCAGTATTCCGGCATATGAGTACATTAACTATGGAAGGCTATGGATAAGTATGGGAATATCCTATTGCTGTTTTCTAAGTTTATTAAAGTGACGACTTTATGCTGAGAGAGAATAATTTTTTTTTTATATTTGATGGACTGACGTTTGGACACTATCTCACCTGGTGGTAAGCGATGATGCGAACCTATTCACTCGAGCCTTGAAAACACCCAGGTTATATATACCCTTCAGGAAACAAACTCCGGCAAAGAATTCCACTCCTTAGCAGTACGCACAAGGAAGCTCGATGCAAGCGTTTCGTGCGTTGATTTCATTAACTTAATTTTTAAACATATGTTGCAAATCCACCTTTAACAATTACATTCTTAAGCTGCACTCTCCAAAGTTTATCAACAATTTTAACAAACTTCATAGCATCTTTATAAATGAAATCAATGATGGTGATACATACCAGAAATAGTTATTATGAAATTAATAACAACATGACATGCATATGACTAATAAACCGTATATTTTAATGCACACTATTCTTTGATTAGAACTACAAATAGATTAATCAGAGCAATTGTTATGATTATGATGTATTAGATATAAACACGCACCACTTTCTAATCTATCTATTTACAATGCACTTAATGTTAAGAGTACATCATTCAAACTAATTAAACAACAAAAATAATATAAGACGCATGTAAAATATTGAAATGCTTATTCATTCATTTGCATTGTAATAAAATGTATGTTTCTCACAAAAGATGCAGAAGTTTTGCACATAGGTATATGTTTATGTAATAGTTATGCATTGTTAACTGTGCGTAATTAATGAATTATGTGGCATTTCATAAACATAACATTGAGCCATTTATTTCTCAGAGTAAGGCATTACTCAGTCCTTTGCATTGAGTGTAAATTAAATGCAACACCTATTTTTAACTGACTCCAAAGAAGGACGAGGATTCTCAATTTGACCTGTATGTATGTTTGTGTTTGATTATCTCGCGATTTGTTGAACTGATTTTGATGCAGGTTTCATAAAAGAGTTAGTTACGCTTGGGAGAAGGTTTTAGTATACTAATTAACATACTTAAAAAAAGAGGGGGTTGAAGTCGGGTTTTTTTGAACGTAGTTTATAGAAGAATTATTTCACCAGTTAGTTAGGAGTCTCATGTAATAGGGGGCGACTCAACAGCTGGGGGAATTCCCTACCTACCTGTTCTGGGCAGAAACATACTGATAAGTAATTAATAAGAATTTTCCTTGTTGTGGTATTTTATCTTATTGGCTGTCTCTTGTAGGCTTCTCCCAGTCGTGCAGTCTCTTTTGTACCTTTAGACTTAAGTCATTATGTCTCCTGCATTAATTCACCAAGGGAAGCGAAAACTATCGTTTTTTTCTTCTCCTCTGTTAAAACCTTCCGATTTATTTCGTTGCGGGATCCAAGACAGTTATTCAGGTCTCTAAGACGCGCTGGACTTCAGTGTTTACGTGGTTGTATCTATCGAAGATCCTGGCTTACAGGAGTTGCAGCGGTTTTGGGAGTTTGTGGCGAGCTTGGTCCATTAAAAAAATGTCTGTCTCTGTGTCTACCAGCCAATGGTAGACTAAGAATGCCCAATTTTTACATAAAAAATGGAAGTAAATAAAGCAATGTGTGACTTACGTTGGCTGTGGTGTAGTCGACGACTTTCTTGGTGGTGAGATCACACTTGTTGCCGACCAGCAGCTTGTTGACATTGTCGCACGCATAGCGGTCGATCTCCTCCAGCCATTGCTTCACGTTGCTGAATGAATCCTGGAAGGAGCAACGGCATTTTGTTAGTTATATTTAACAAAAGAATTGAGCTAATGAAATACACTTAATACTGAATGATCGTATTAGAAAAATGAATCGCTGAATGTGTCGGTCTTGTAAGCGCTAATCTCGAACAACTGAACAGATTTTGCTGTTTTTGTTGAGTTGTTATTGCTTGGAGAAGGTTCTTGTATAAGAAAAAATAACAATTAGGCGGAATATAGTTCGGGGGGCCAGTTAGTTCATAACTAAAAATCACTCACAAGAAATAGTTATTTGCCTATCTGCCACGAGAATAATCATATCATACATCTTAGTATTGCAAAAAATAAAAACTACAAATAAGTAAATAGCTAAGTTCGCCCTCAAAAAGTGACTAAGATCAAACCAGTCTAGTCAAATAACTCGTATCTATTATAATGTTAAAGTAACATTTTTTTATGATAACTCAGCTTATCTAATGCCTAATCTATTGCTATCGGTCAGAAGAAGCGTCGATACAATAATTGTTATTATATCTGTACACATTTAGTAGCATTTCTCTGAAACTGCATGACATTTCTCGATGTGTTTTTCTGTTTGGGTATCACAACACACATGGTCGGTTAACTAAATTTGGACCAGGTAATACCGACGAAGGGGCGCCTTTGTTGTATTTTGATTTTTTTTAAACAACATCTGCGGCGTTGTTTACCGCCCCTAACAGCTGACTACCTGGTAACTATTTACGGAATAATTTTTCGTTCTTCAATAATATTTTTACACATGTTTTGAACTTTATTAGAAAGAGAGAATGTTGACAATTAGGGGCAGCTTGTGTGTATGTATGCACTTTAGTAATTCGCAATTGTATAGCTGTATACTGCAAAAAATGTATGAAACCGTTTCTTTGTTATGCGGCCAAATAACAGGGTCCATTGTGCTTTAAGACATTGTTATGAAGTTATCAAACAAAATATCATGCAGACGCATTCGCAGACTTAATATAGTCATTAAGATCAAATTGTAGTAAACACGTGACTTCGAACTTCCGACAGAGATGAACTCATAGGTGCAAAGTTCAGTTGTACATACAATGAATTAATTAATCATCGTATAATAGAATATAAGTACTTAGTGCTATATTCGTTCATCTGTAAATGCTTAGATATAAGTGTTAGATGAGTCAATCTATTTACTAACTTTTGCTAAATACAAAGTCTTTCGATTCGAATCCTTTATACTAATCTCATTAACATTTGATTTTTAGTAAAGAATTGAGTTTGAGAAAACCCATGACATTGACAAGTTTAATAGCTGTTCCGTTTTAATATGCGTAAAAAATGTGGATTAACGTAAAATTATTAAAACTTTATATTCAAATTTAGTGCGAGTAGTAAATAGTGCTTTGGCTTTGCGTCGGCATAATGCCAAATCCCGACTTTCCGGTTGACCTACATATTTTAAGGAGTTCAAACGAATATAAATATTATACTTACAAAGTTATAAGTATTTGTATTTGCTCCCGATTTAACCTGCAAAACCTGCTTAATGAATATTTTTATATTATTTTTAAGTTAAAAGATCGAAACTCATATTTTAACATCGCTATTTTGAAACTAATCTTATTTCTTTATTATTACTTGCACCTGGCAATATTTTAGTAATATTATATTCTAGAATCATGTATTATCAATGTCTAAAACGATAATAACATCAGATATATAATTAAACTTGTATGCTAAAGAATGTTAAACGCATTTTTATTTCCTAATAAAGCACCATTCACTGAGGACGTGTGATAATGTGACGTCATTAAATAAAACATATTAAATATGTATATTGATTCTTATCTGTAGCATATTAATTTACATGTAAAGCGAAGATTTTTATCGCCATGAGGCCTGTATGATAGATAAGTATTACATAAATTCATAAACGAATAATTTCATATCCTCTTGACCGTGGGTACACATAATATTATGCACCTTCAATTTATTAAAGTTAAAACTAGTAGCGACTTCTTTTGTGTGCTTTTAGTACTGAATGAGTCACTATAGTTTATAGAGTTTCGATATAAACCAATAGGTGGCGTCGCGGAGAAAAATGGTTAAATATTTTTTTAATTTGAATTTTCGTAAAAAATCAAATTGTTAAGTTTAGTGCGATTTTTTTCTTTTTGATTTGTATTGCTGAATTATTGGACTAACGTGTGAAAGATAAGTTTTAAGTAAGTATTTTTTATTTTATATCGTGTAATTGTTGTCTTGTTTTAATGGTACACATCTATTTAAATAATTAAAATAAAATGTGTGTCTTATTTATGTCTCTACAACTACAATAAACCACAAAAAACATTATTATCATATTTGTCTTAAGAGGTTAAACTTGTTACTATTAACTCGTCGAGTACCGGTTTTATAGACACAATTAAAGAACAATAGGTCGCGGTCACCGGTGACCGCTTGGTGTTTGACAGTTCAAAAATTGTAATTTCGAATCTGCTTCAGTGGCTTTAAAGTTCAAAATGCAATAGGTCAACCACATTGTTGATAATAAAATTGATATATAAAACACCTTGAAGGGAAACCAGTAACTTGCTGTTGACCTTAAGTTAACTGATAACAGGTACTTGTTGATAAAAGGTGGGGAGGTCTTTGCCCTGTCTGTGACGAAAATAAGTTCACTTTATCACTGTAGTTAGTTGGAAGTTGGAGGAGGTACTTAACCCTTTGAGTAACGTCATTATAGACACAATTAAGACTTTGACTGCCAATAAAAAACTGTTGAATGTAAATCCTCCGCTACCGCCGGTCACCGGTTACCCCATGGCGTTTAAGGTGTTAACTCCTTGGAAAGCTTCTCGGAAGGATTTTTTAAGGGGGTAAATTCATCGAATGACTCCTCCCGCCTGGGTGTGGCGGGAGGGAGTGTCAGACTCTTACTGACTAAAAACCACCCCGTTCCTTCTCCTGCACGTCGAGCCGGAGCCCCGGTTACCCGTTAGGTTCTCCGCGACTTCTCGGAAGGATAGCTGTCAATTGTTCCTTAGGAACTTAGATTTTAGTAAAGTTCACGTGAATTAACACTGTTAAGCGCATGTAGATAAGTAGTGTCCACTATCCAATATCAACTTGATTTATGTCTCGTCTCTTGGTACTCATGGTAGAGACTTCATATAATTTATATCAGTGAATGGACTTTCCCTTTTATTTGAAAGTAAATTGAGAAGTATTGATGACACAATTGTATCAAAGCAAATAAAATTATAATTTCAACATATGAACAACATTTTAAGTTGCGACTATTGATTTTTTAATTGTAGTTGGTGCATTCATTTTAATCATACTTTTTAGGGACTTTTAGCTATTAAGACTATCTACATAATCACGAATTAGAAGCGTCTGCGTCTCTAAATAGAAGCCTAGAAACTTCACTTCTATCTATGGCCTCACAGAACAGTCTCTTTGAGTGAAAGTTGCATTGATCTTGAAAACTATTCAACCGTATTACCTATTTTAATGTTAGATATTTAATTATTTATTATAGTAATATGTTTGACATATCGGTGTTCGGGCACAGATTGCTTAGTATAATTTGTCTTCCATCGCATATTGAACTACAATAACACCTAGACAAGTTTCTATGAGAAAATAATTACTAGTAACACAGCATTATTTTATTATCTAATCAGTTTTTCCGAAAACGTATTATGATAAAATGAATTACGTTCGTAATTCGCATTCCTAAATCAAACAAAAGTACGTTGACCTAATTGTTTAACTCGATCAAAATGCAAGCTCTAAGTAATCGTATCATGTCTTGGAAACGAGGTCGACAACCTAATGTGGGGCAGATAAATTATCTAGAACAAATGGATGAATTGCTGCAAAACGTCAGCAAATCGCTTTTGTCTAGATTCCTAGACTATTGTAGTGAAGGCATATCTATGCACTTCGTTAGTATTATGCCTAACGATAATGTAACATCGCGTTTTCTCTTTAAAAAGATGAGTACATGAACCTTCTAGTAACTACTAAAAGTCTAATACATGCGTATTAGACTTTTTTAAACAAAAAAATATTGCCCCACCCTAAGATTTTCTCCTCTGTCGTGTGTGCTTTTACATACATACAATGGGGATGATGACAGGGTATGAAAATTAAAAATATAATTAGTCCGTAAGTTAGGTAATGAAAAAATATTAGACACGTATTTTTTTATTTTGTCGTATAATAAAATAATACTTAGATAAAACGAATCAAAGTTTAGGAGTGGGGGTTAAAACGTCATTTCTTAGTATAAAATGTACTGAGAAGTGACGTCACGCGACATTTCAAATCAATATATCTTCGAAACTATTCGTTTCTGTGAGAAAAGAAAAAATACGTGTCTAATGTTTTTAAATAATCTACCAGACGGACATTAAAATAAAAATTAGTCGTCTACCCTATTTGACACCTAGACCTGGAACAACAATTTGTGGATAACACAAAGTATTGCTTCGTGCGGCAACCGAACCCGCAACACGTCGGGCGGCAGCTGGGTACTCCCCCACCGCACCAACCGTGCAGTCCACTTATTTTTACAATGTTCTTATGTAAAGGGAATTTGCACTACACAATGAAAAATCCGCGTAATTTTAAAACTACTAACCCTGACAAATATATTTACAGCTAGAACTAAGTAGCAATTGAGTTGAATGTTTGTAAATAACCATATTTGCATATTGGTCACGTTTTTGTATGTAAATTGTGATTAAGCCGGATTTGAGATAAAAACCATTTCGGTATGGAGTATAGAGGAAAATCATTTGAACATTTGTATGCAGATAAGACCAAAAACCAGTATAATCACGCCAGTGTATGATAAGTATTAGCAGCAGCGTACCGTAAGTAGTGGAAATACTTTTCTCAATGACCGATGATAAGATCATCTATTAAATGATTACAGAATGCACAGAGAACATCTTCCTACACGCAATTTAGAAGTAAACAATCGACCAAATGAAGTTAAAGTTAATGTAAACAAGGTTTATTAGGCAGCTGAATGATTAGCAGAGCCCGTCATTGTTTACAAATCGTGAGCGAGTACCAAGGAGTGGGTATTTGGCAGTTGGACGCGTGCCAAGCGCCCGCTCTCCATAAGTCATTTGCACAAACTTGTAGTAGGTATATTGGTCATAAAATCTTGGAAAGGACCTATATAAGTGTTATAAATAAATATAGGGTAGTATAAATAAATTCAGAATAAAGGATACCCAAGAAATTATGGATAGTGTAAAGAATTATAAAACAGGAAGGAGTTTGTGACAGGAGGGACTCCAAGTAGCTTGTGATTAAGTCAGGAAAAAGAAGTTCATAGGTACCTACACGTACCCCCCCTGAAATAAAATTATATACAGAGTATGTAAGAAAGTATGAGGGTATGATAGTGTTTGTCACGTTAATATTATGCAAAACGGCTGCATGAATTAAGATGAAATTGCGATACCATGAGCAGCATTAATAACATAGAAATACCACTCACACAAGACGACATATTTGTTCGTTATGCCTATGTAACATTCAATTCAATAACCAGATTCACATTATGTGCATTTCTGTAACACCATTACAATAGTCTTCATTATTTTCTGCACGACATTTTATCAGAAATACTTCAGGAATTTAAGCGTATAATATGGTATAATCGACACAAACAAGGTACTTATTATTAATTAATTATTACTATTAATTTGTTTGAAACTTTTTTATCTCCGTGACTCATTCAAACTTGCTTTCTTGATAGAAACATGTCAATCAAGTAATTCCTAAACTGAAACTAATGCAATCGGCGTTTAAGCTTATCAAACCAGCTGTGCCATGCGTTGTTCGAGTTATATCACATAATACTAAACAAAGGAGATTATACACTTGCCCAATTTGCTCTGAAATGACCAGTAAATGGAAATACTAATGATGGAAATACTAAAACCTACTACTATTCAATCTAGAAAATAACTTTACATTGAATAGGCTCCAAAAGTACTAGACCGAAATTTTTTAGGTGTTATCTATCTTGGGTTTCATTTTATCGACCTTCTTACAGGATTGGGACCTACTTAATAGACAACTTATAAATTAAACACATGCAGGCGGACAATTAGAAGCAAATAAACAGGAAAATACTTTTGAATTCACCTAGATAAGAAAATGACATATTTTTATGTTAATGCTTGAATAACTACTACAACATTATTATTTCTATTAAGAATCAAAGGTAGAGCCTATATTAACTAAAAACGAGTATATTTGTCAAAAAATAAACCAATTGTACTGTTTTTTTTTCTTCTGACGCATGTTAATTTTAAAATTACGTTCTAGTGTTTCTCGTAAAAAAATTGCTATAAATATCTGCGTCATAAACTGGTCACAATCAGCAAGCGACACGGCGACATCACGCCTTGTCACAATACGTAATCATGGGACATCTGTCGCCGAGTACATCTGCGTATGCGACTCGGCTAGAGTATGCGTCAATTAGTCACATTTACGTAGCATTTAATATGTTTAATGTTCATTTATAAATACTGGTAAAGTGTAAATAGGAATTAGTAACTAAAAATCTATCATCCTATCTGGAAGTCATTGGGGGAGGCCTATATTCAGTAGTGGATGTCCTTTGGCTGATATGATGATGACGATGATGAACTAAAAATCACGAATTCCTCACGTAAATAGACTGAGAAAAGCTATACTAGTTTCTAGCCAGAGTAATTTTAGTTAGTAACTCGTAATTGTTAGTTAATTCAGCTTGTCTCACGATAGATATTATAAAAACACAGGAATCAGTAATTTGGACAAGAAACAATAATTTTGTGCTAAACATTTGTTGGTAATAGGGTTTTACTATTGTGCTTATGAAGTCAGTTAATTGTAGAGGGACGGATGGCCAGTTCAGACTGAAACCAGTCCTATAAATTCACAAAGGGCTAGACAGTAATCACATGGCAGACTAACACATACCTATGTAATGTGTCATCTACTTTAAACCATTATTTTATGGGTCTCATGTAATCCAGGGGGATAGCTTTACTTGCTTTAGGACCAAGTCCCAATACATTGTGTAATGCATCATTTTACTAAGTTACCATTTCAAACACACTATTTCGTCACCTACATAATTAACATAGTTATTATTTGTTTATCATTTTATGTACTAAAATACTAGATGCTGTATAGATTTTAAATAGTAATTTGATTACATAAATAATTATTAAATTTCTTGCAAGACTAGGAAATAAGATAAATATAACTCATACTGTGTTGTACCTAATGCAACGACATGAATGTCCAGGTGGCAGGTAGAAGTTATCTGTACTTATATTATTTAATAATAATGTTAGGTCACCTTTGACTGATCTTTGATGATTTTTAGTTTGTTTTCTTGAACAACTTTCATCAATGTTAATAGGTATTTAATAGTGACAGCAACATATAGAATCAACTACAAACCAATGGGACAGTAAAGTTATTAAATTAAATAAAACATTAACAACCATTTCAAGGGAAATTCACAAGAGGAAATTGTTAATTTATATTAAAAATAACACACATTAATTATAATCGAGGGGTAACGGACTATTTGGTTTAAGCGACATTTTGGGCGATATTGAGTTATTATATATATTTGATGGAGAAAAATTCGCTGATTCCGAATATATATAACTCAATATCTACCAAAATGTCGCTTAAACCAAATAGTCCGTTACCCCTCGTTATGTATAACACAGCTATCCAAATAAGTAACAGCAATCTAATTGGTGAAAAAAGTTTCGAAGTCATAATGGAGAACAACCTCTTTTTACAAAGTTACTTTCAGATCAGATTCACTGCGGCAACTTTCTAGCTTACGGTACAGATAAAAAATACTGAATCTGTTCTTAACTAAACTTAATTAGGTTCCAAATAACTAATTGCATTTTTTGTCTTGTTAGCAAGTTATTTCTTTTGTTTAGACTCTGATGCTAAGTTTTAATTTATTGATCATTGAATATATCAATGAATATTAAGTAGTACTGTAAAGTTTATCCCCTTTTGTTTTGAATTGATTCATAGTCTTTGATATAAAGATCAACAAAGGAGGTTGAGCAGCTTCTAAATAATAATGAGTTATATTTAGAGTCCATGGCCACTAACATTAAAAATAAACAGTATACAAGTTACCCAAAATTGGAACTTATAATAGACCTTATTATTGTGGTGATAGAATTTGTTTTATAGGGAAATAAGTTTGTTGGTGGTATTGTCAAGAATATTATTGTTTGGGGTACTCACCTGGTCTGTGCAATCATAAACAATGATAATTCCGTGTGCTCCTCTGTAGTATGATGAAGTGATTGTTCTAAACCGCTCCTGCCCAGCTGTGTCCCATATTTGTAACTTTATTGTCTTGCCGTCTAAGTCTACAGTCCTAATTTTAAAGTCCACACCAATAGTGCTGATGTAGCTCTCTGTGTAGGTGTCGTCGGCGAACCTGAGCAGCAGACATGACTTGCCAACACCAGAGTCACCAATCAGGAGTAGTTTGAACAAATAATCGCTGAAAGAGAACAATTACGTTTTTAGTGGTCTGTAGCAGTTCCGAGTTCACTTGTTCAAGGACAGCACGAGCGATGCGCATCAATAAACGTAAATGATAAACGAAGGGAGGCGTTGCTTTGTTCCACATAACAAAGAGTTCGACGAGTGGGAAATCTTTCCTCGTTCGACATGCATCCAGATTGGAAGAATCAGGAATTGAACACTGGTACAATCATCACTCACTAATGCGCCATTCATGATACATACGATTACGTTTTCACAAATACTTCGATAATACCTACCTACCACGAATACACAATGACTCACCCAATTTATCGTAAATTAATTTACTATTGGCACACTTTAACTCGTTTGTGTATTGCGGACTATGAGTTAAAAGAAACCAATTCCGTGGAAAGACAATGAACACGCAAAAAAGATGGGTTTTCTACACCATCCTTGTTTCTATAATCGCCATGTTAAAAGTAATAAAAATACTTACTATTCTGGATTCATGTTTGTACTATAAATGTATTTTTTCCAAAACTATAATATTATAGAATATGTCGAAAATAGTTACGTTCTTTGTTTCTAGCACAAAACAGCAAAAAAATTAATAATTATACGTAGAATAATGGCCGCCGTCCGAAACACCCACTGACGTAAGTCAGAAATTTAAACAGGAGTGCCACTTGGCAGAAACTAAATCACGTTCGGAAATTGATCCAGTGCAATTAATCGACTAAATAATTTTGTTTTCCAATGGAAAATTCCTTTTTTCCATGTAAATGTTGTATTCAATATTATCGTGTTTATTAATTGATTTAATTTTAGTTTTACCTTTGGTCAAAATCACTCAATACTTGTTTGATTGTCTAAATCGGTCTTGATATAAAACTAAGTATCCCGTGTCTGCCAATGACAGGGATGGCGGCGACGACTTGATTTAATTTAATAAAAAAAATAATTTGGTTTTACGACTGTCGAAAAATTCTAGTAGCAGTAATCCTTTAGTGCTCTCAATAGAAGATATTACAATAACTTTTTATAATACCCTCTATTAATGTAGTAATGGAATAGGAGGAAAACTAGTATCACCTGATGGTAAGCGATCTGCGCCCATGGATACCAGCAACACTAGAGGAGTCACAGATATTGTATTACAAGGAAAAGCATGTTATTTTCTGGTACATTTATTTTTGAAAAATTGGCTACAGACACATTCATCAATCAATCAAGTTCATTTTTATACATTCCAAGTAGTAACTGACTATACAAGGAAGGATTAAAACACTTTCAACTTAAATAGATAAACGATATGTTCAGTCAAAAACTGTTGCTCCGCTTTATTGTCATTAGGAAAGGTTGCCAGAAGACTGGCAATATTCCTGCACGTAGGCACAGTACACATTTACCTCAAAACAGTAAGCCAGAAACTTTGAAGCCAGCCCTCTGGTTACAAACATTGACATACTGCGGAACTATTTTCTAATTAGTCAAACACTTGGACCCCCAAATGGCTCAAAATTACAAAAAATAAAATTATATTTGATATTTTAGAATTTAGATAATCCAAAATACATTTTGCTTGAGACGACAAAGTAAGAAATCAGTGGATAAATATTGATTAATGAAACCAGTAGTTCTGATAGCTTTTGGCAGATATAAAATCATCAGAACAAATAGACAAACACTACACATGTAATATTATATCTTGGATTGTAGACATGTTAAATAATTTCAATCGGTTTTGCTACACATTTAGAGATAAAAATGACATCGACAAACTACTTGTTAAATACTGGAGCATATTTGTGGACAAAAGCTTAGTATGTATTGCTATTTACGAATCTATTGAAATCACAAACAAATACAACATTGTCTCATACTTGAACGCAACTTAATATAAGTGCAATAAAAAGGAAATTAATACTATTAAACTTATTAAACTCCTTTTATTTTATATAATAATATGTACACATTGGCTCAATCCAAACAAAAATCACGGAATACATTCATATTAAGGTAAACGTGAGATTTAATCTACAACACTTATATAAGAGACTTATAAAATCATTTCTTGTAATATACTTAATGGTATCTTCCATATATACAAACTCCTGTCTTTGTAGCCAGCGATAATCTGTAACAGATAAAATAAAATAATTTTATTATAAGAAGTAATTATTGTTGAATTATAATATAAAACCATGAAACATTTGCATAAATATCCACCAAGGTGACAACTTCCTCTTATACTCTTTTTGTTGTTTGTAAGTTTATATTTTTTTCATTAAATTATGCACTTTTATTAGAAAATCTAGGAACATGATAACATTTTTTATTTGAATACCTACATTGCCTAAACAATATAATTTTTTCTGCCCATAACCCAAGCTAGCTACGGTTTATTTGGTCAGTCTACTTTTCCATATTTAAATTCGGTTAAAGAAAAGGAATTATTTCAATTAAACTATAATTTTGTGCTTTTGAAACATTAACAAATATTAAATAAATAATAGTCTATCAATTTGTCCGATAGAGAAGTTAGGTGCTCGTTCAAAAATGTAGATTCGAATGGATAACAACGAGTGAGAAATTCCATTTGTTACTTTAAAGAAATATATAATATGTTTTACAAACTCTCTGGTATGCTATCCAACATTGCAATTGTGAGAACAATGTAAAGACACGCTTGACGCATAATACAAATTACAGAACTTACTAATATAAAAAACAAAACAAATATCTTATAGTCTAAGATTTTAGCACTTGGTTGTCATTGTTTAACCCACACAATAAAATGTTTTTGTATACCTACATTATTATATAAAGAAATCTTCGAAACTCCTGGTTCAAATTGAAAAAAATATTTTTTTGTGTTAGGTAGTCTATTTACCGAGTAAGGTTATAAAATACTAGCGACCCGCCCCGGCTTCGCACGGGTGCAATATGCATGTAATATACATATAAACCTTCCTAATCAGATTTAGAGAATCCAGAATCACGATATTTATAAAAAAAAATCGCATCAAAATCCGTTGCGTAGTTTTAAATATCTAAGCATACATAGGGACAGACAGACGGCAGAGAGCGACATTGTTTTATACTATGTAGTGATTAATAGGAACCGAGCAGCAGATGAAACCGCGCACGTAGCTAGTAATAACTATGAATATTTTCTCACCTTGCTACCGACAACGGCGAGCGATAGCAACATGAGGCTGGGTCCTCGAAGCTGCGCGAGTGGTCGGACCTCTCCCTCCCTGTACACGTACACGCAGCCGTCATAACATCCTGCGAACAGCAGCCCGCCCGTCGCACGCAGGCACACCGCGCCCTTGCCGCCCTCGTGGCAACCCGTATGACTTCCACTCTGTAATACGAATTATGATGGTAAATTACTTAAAATTACAAATTATTAATTATGTTCTGCTTTTTGATCTAGGTGGTAGGTGCCTGTATAGTCCATGCAATGTCATGTACACTAGTATGTTATGAGTCCTATGTAATAAGTTAAGTCTATCTATATAGATAGATACATATTTTTTAAGATCTTGTCGATTAATTAAGATATAGTTTTATACCTATGTTGACCAGTGTTATTATGAATAAAATTTTTATTTATTATTATTATTATAGATAGGCTATAGTGCCGGCGGGTACAGTTACAAAACCATATAACTACTGAGAATTTTCGAAAATAAACCTAATCGCACTACAAAAGTAGCACTTGAGACGCGCCCACACTTAATTTTAAAATCAGTTCAATGAAACTTACAGCATAATCAAAAACATGTATCTGATGACTGCTAGTTCCACAGTACACCTTCCCATCTTCGAACAGGAGAGTGTACACTGTCATCTTGGGCCCCGAGAGCGTTCTCAGCAGTAGTCCGGACTGAGCATCCTTTATGGTCACATCTTCAGATCGGGCGGCCACTAGCAGGACCTTGCGAGCTCCTTCCTTCATGGCACGTAGAGCTAGGATCGACTGCTCCGAAAACTTCACTGTACTCACTGGTATTAACATGTTATTCTGAAATTGAGAGAGAAATGTTTAAGTAAGGAGGTAATAATGTGTTGTTTTTTGTTGTAGATAGCTTGGGAATCTATAAGAGCTTATTTTTTTATTTATTTTAAAAGGTTTCATGCACATATACACGCGTACAAGGTGGGCTTAATGCCATTGGCATTCTCTTGCAGCCAGACCTTTGGGTGATGCAGAGACAAAAACAATGGTCAATGCAGTTTATCACGTTAAGTTGGAAAAAAAACTTTATCATACGCCGGATTCGCTGTATGGTGACATCTTCGATTAACAATAGCAACTAGATAAAGGGTTACATACAAAATCAAGCTCCAGTTCTGTCCGTGTGAATAATAATAGTAAAAAAATAACAAACAGAGAAAAATGTTTTAAAATAGTTTTAAGTTCAACCTAATAACAACCATGGCACCTGATAATAAAGTCATAAATCGTCAAAATATTATCTAATACTTACGACCATTTGTCACATAAGACGAGAAAAGTATTTTCTTACTCCTGTCATGTAGAAATTAAAAGACATAAGTTATACAATATCTAGTTTGAATTCAACCTTAAAGATGAACAAATAAAGATAATTTTTCCATTATTCTCTTGCGATCTATATCGTTTTGTTTTGTTTAGTTTTACTTCTTCAAATTTCGAATTTCGCTACAGGAGGTATGTATGGAGTCGCGTTGAACACTAAAATAATTTTATAATATGAAAATTAAGATTTCGGGATCTTAGTACACATCACTTACTTTTTTAGCGGACGTTTTTGTGTATGTTTATTTACTTTATCATTAAAAGTCTAAGTCAAATCATTTATTTCAGTTAGACAACAATATAAATTTAAAAGTGAAGCTATTTGCTCATTCCAATGTGTAGATTCCTATGGAAAAGAACGAGCAAGAAACTCCATAGCTTAAGGTTACAATACAATTTTATTTTACAATACAAATCGACTCCATGCATCCACTGTTCTGTTTAAACAAATGTTTGTGCGCTTGTTGGCGAGGCTTGGCCAAGGGTTCGCCAACACACGCACAAACATTGGTGGCGTTGGTTTATAATTGGTAATTTTGTCTAATTTGATATTATTTACTAGTTTAAAAGCTTAAAATATAACTTATACTTTATTTACTTATCGAAAGTAAGACACTCCGGCCGTTATACTGCTTTTTCGGTCATTATTTTTGCAACTTGCAATTACGCACTGCAGCATCGTGAGACGTGATTACGTTGGCCGTGTTTGGAGCATACTAAACAAAATAAGAGCTCACTTCTCAAGTGAGCTCTTATTTGTCGAGACGATTTTCTTGCGCCGACCCGATATCTAGTTGTTATTGTTGATCGAAGGGTGACATCAAAGTACCTATTTGTCACCACAGATGCTTCTTCCGCGGGTTACGACACCCGTCCAAGCAGCCTAAGTGACTGCACATTGGACGGAGACCAACTCTTAACCTTTGTGAATATGACTCCAACCCAGTTGCCAAATGTGAAGATTATAGCAACTCCTCTTAGGAAGAAGAGGCCTATAGGGCTATGGGCCTCTTCTCCTATTGTGGACTAACTAACCGATGATGATGTCGAAATGCAACAGAACCTACCTGTAATGTCGCGAACAAGTCCTAAGATTAGATATTTCCGTTCGAGATTACT